TTTCTGATGATATTAATAAGATAGTACCGATCGAACAGGTAGGGTTTCGACCCAACAGAAGCTGCTGTGTTCAGGCCCTATCACTAACCACGCATATTGAAGCCGGGTTCGAAAAAGTAATAAAGTCTGCGGCTGCCTTTATCGACCTAACCGCAGCCTATGATACGATATGGCGCAAAGGACTGATCAGCAAGCTTATACAAGTTATCCCATGTAAAACAATTAGCAGAATCATCAACAACATGCTGAGCAGCAGACTCTTCACAGTAGTAATTGGAGACAAAAAGAGCAGACAAAGGGTACTGAATAACGGATTACCACAAGGGTCTGTACTTGCACCACTGCTATTTAACCTGTACGCCCATGATATTCTCACTACCAATGCTCGAAAATTCATTTACGCTGACGATATTTGCTTAGTCACACAAGACAAAAACCTAGACGTGTGTGAAAAAACACTGACCGCAGACCTTACTGTCCTGAGTCACTACTTAAAACAATGGAGACTGAAACCTAACCCAACCAAAACAGAAATATCACTATTCCACCTCAATAACAGACAGGCAAACCAAACAATTAAAGTAGTATTTAATAATGTAGAAGTGAGAAATAGCCAAAATCCTACTTATCTTGGAATTACCTTGGATAGAACACTTACATATAAAGAGCACCTAACAAAAATTGCTGCTAAAATAAAAACAAGAAACAATTTAATCCAAAAATTGGCCAACTCGTCGTGGGGAGCTGATGCCCATACACTAAGAATCTCTACATTAGCATTAACGTACTCAGTAGCGGAATACTGCGCCCCAGTGTGGGCCAATAGTGCCCATTTGAACAAAATAGACGTCCAACTAAACTCAGCCATGAGAACCATTTCAGGTGCGGTCAAATCAACGCCTACTCAATGGCTTCCTATACTATGTAACATTGCCCCACCAAATCTTCGCCGGATGAACTCATTACTTCGAGAATGGACTAAATGCTCTAGGAATACCGCACTTCCTATCCACAGCGACTGCACTAATGTTGGCCCACTGCAAAGATTAAAATCCAGGAAACCGACTTGGAAACTGGCAAGGAAACTTATCACAGAAAAATTCGACCTTATGTCTAAATGGACTGAAGATTGGAGGTCTTACAATATCGACTCGAACCATCTCTTCGACCAACCTATGATGCAACCCCCTGGATCTAACCTCACAAGGAGTCAATGGGTAGTCCTAAACAGACTTAGAACTGGGCATGGACGCACTGGACTCATGTTGCATCGATGGGGATTAAAGCCCACTCCACAATGTGACTGTGGACACCATACCCAATCCGCAAGACACATAGTGGAGGAATGCCCAATCAGAGCATTCCCAGGGGGATTAGCAGAGCTGAACAAAGTTACCAGGGATGGTATTAATTGGCTTGAAAAATTAGATATCAATATTTAACCGCCTAGTCTAATATATGTTACCCACCTATAGTTATTTTAGTGTTTATGTTACTGTATTGTATTATTATTGCCTAATCTATTACTTTAATATCATCATTTNGGATGGTATTAATTGGCTTGAAAAATTAGATATCAATATTTAACCGCCTAGTCTAATATATGTTACCCACCTATAGTTATTTTAGTGTTTATGTTACTGTATTGTATTATTATTGCCTAATCTATTACTTTAATATCATCATTTATAATTTTCATGTTCATTGTTCATAGATTATTTTATTGTTAATGTGTGTTAATAGCGTCATACGAATATATATAATAAATAGTTGCTCACCGTAGCTCGTTCGAGTGTAAATGTACGATAGGACAAATATGTAGTCTGTATTCACACGGTACTACAAATATTTGATAGATAAAAATCAAATGCGTGTATGTTACTCACATACACACAAAACTATGCTCTGGGTTAATTCGGCACCCAAAACATACGCACAAAAATTATTTTACTTTAACTTGTAAAACTTCAAAAAAAAAATCGCTTTTCTGGTTACACCACCCGAAAATGTGTACAATTATTGTACACAAAAACAAATAAAAAACTGAGAAAAATCTAATAGTGCCAAGGTTGAGGTACCAGGGCACACACACAAAAAAAATAAAAAATAAATAAAAAATAAAAGTGTCTCCGATCGTGATTCGAACTACGTTGGGCGCCACTGTCGTATATGCACTTTTTGAGTGATATAGATTGGATTGAAAAGAGTACGGCAAATTGCGTGACTACTCAAAAATTAAACAAATAATTTTACGGGTCGGAAACACTTTTATTTTAAAACTAAATAAACAAAAGTCACCCGTACAGCAATCGTCGCCTCTTCCGTGTGCACGTCGATGGCACGCTCTCGACAACACACCCGGTGACGACGGGGACTCCACGTTCCTGCCCGTGCGGCCGTCTTATATCTAAGTAATTTTTGTCACCTCAGCACATCTAGCTTCCCAGGCTTGACCTATTCTAATATCTTAATTGCTAAAAATTATGCTAAAATTATGCTGACGACTGTCAACAATATACGACACATTGTTAATCATTTCTTAAAAAATGAAAATTGAGAAGTACTTATAACAAAACAGGAGAAATTCTCTAAAGAGTTGGCTAGACCACACTTACGCTAACAATAACTTATATTTTAAGAATGTGTGGCACTCTACAAGTAAGTGTAGATACTTATTATATGCATTAAGTGAATTCATCAATGATATATTTTATAAGTCACAGGTGTAAGGTTTATGTTTTGTAGTATATTGATCAATTGGTTTTATAGGATGTGAATGCATGCCATTGTGCGAGGTGAGTACGCTGTACGTTTATATTTTTAATAAAGTGAGCTACAACCCCGACAGTGCTTGCATAACAAATAAAATATTTAGATCACAACTTGCAAATCAAAAATGCATTACTATAGATCCAATGCAATGTTTGTGTAGAACAGACATTGATAATTGTGCGAGAAAAATATTTATGTTTATGTTATAACATTTAAAATAAAGTCCATTGTAAGTAACTGTAATAACATTAACTGTACTTATTGTGTTCAATAAGTTTTGAGTCAGCCAGGTTAGGACTGTGAATCGCAGTGGATAAGGCGAACAGTGAAATGTTTTGTCAGCAACCGTGTCAGAAAACATATTATGAGTAGTTTGAGTAATTGTCATTTGTTTATTATAGATGTGTATAAAACACAGTGGGTTATAACTAACTTTGACCGTAATATAAAATAATTCTAAATATTAACATTAATGCAACGATATTAAGTACATCAGGGTGAGTTGAATGTAAGGCTTATGTTAAAAAATATATTATATTTGGTTTTCAAGAATGTTGTACAGAGTAAGTGTAGTAGTGGTTAGGTAAAACTATAGAAATCCTTAATCGTAGAACTATATTAAATAAATTAAGTAAATGACATAGAAAACACAACCAGACTTTGTGCCATTGGAGGGTTGGTGTCCAAGATAATAATTGCACATGGTGTCTGTAGCTGAAAATAATACCAATTGACACATGGCCGTAGGTGCATGTTGGGTTTGTAATTCACACTGTGTTATGCAATTAAGTGAAACGTACAGAAGTGATCTAATGATTTGGTATTCACTTGGAATTTAATTTAAATGATTTTTAATTTAAAAAGTTCATATTTATATATAATGTCTGTTAGTGTACTTGTGTTGTGCAATAGCAAAAATTTCAAATGTCATTAAGTTCAGTAGGGTTGTTCTTGGAACACCTCAATCATACACACCAAAGACGGCACTGCTGTATGCACCAGACGGCGTCGTCGTACGTTTTCCACAGAGTAGTCAACACAGGGAACGAAATGCCTGGAACACAGCTTAGAGTTCATGTTCGCGACATGACCGTTGTTGACAACAAATTCCACCCACCGGAGACGACGTGGCAGGTCATTTGGAAATCTAAAGGGGAATGTAACGACATATTTATTATACTGATCAATATTATGTGTTGGGTTTGGTATTGTAATTACTTTTGTACGGTGACATCCACGATATCGTCCACAACTCCACACAGCACACAGCGTTTCACCATATTGAATATACTTAGAAAAAAGGATCGTTTAGAATTTATATACATTATAATAAGATTATAATAAGAAAACGAATACTTATACACATAATATCATATTGATAGGAATAAAAAGTAATATATGAAATATAAATTATGTATTGTATGTTATCATTGGTAATTGTTTCACTGCGTTATTTTTAGAATTTTAATACGTCAAATCATTTGATACCTTTTGCGGTGTGATATGAGAAAAATACGAAAAAATACACACCGAGCGAGTCGTAGCACAATCACGTGTTTTTATTTAAAATGTTAAAGCGATTAAACAGAATGGAGCCGATTAATACTCGGACGATATAAGACGAATGCGAAGTGAACACCTATACGCGTTGTACGCAAAAACACGATCAAAATAGCATGGCGTATTATATTTAAAAAAAAAAAAATAGCGGTAAACAACGTCTGTAGTGAAACAGTAGGTAGTACGCGCGGCACGCGCTGCCTTAAATACACCTGTACGTATAATGTAATGAATATCATATAATGTATGTAGAATTTTACTCACCGGTATGAAAAGCGCCCATTACACAACGAAACGAAAATAAAAGCACTAAATAAAGGAGGAAAATAGGCTTTTGAAGGTGCGTTGATGTGCGTCGTACGGGCGTTTGTTAAGGTACACACTGGAGCATTTTGGTGTAATGTAACGCCGTAATGTAACTGTAATGCTCAAGTGTGTACGGTGTTACTGTAACATCGCGACGCTGTCGATCCACCCGAGTGTCGGTATTTTGACGAACATCAAAGGAATGTTACATTACAATTCGCTGCTAGTGTGTACGGTAAACTAGTTGCTCGCAGCGAATCGCCCTGATCACTACCGCTACAGGACTGTATAAAAACTTACTGTTTTAAAAGTTTAAGTGTTTAAAGTGGTTTATTTGTATAAATTTAATTTAAATCTAAAAAATGGAGTGGAATAACGAAAAGATGTTGGACCTCATTGAGCGTTACGAAAAAAAACCGATACTGTGGTCCCCAAAGCACCCCAAGTATTATAATAAATTTGCAAAATCCGATGAGTGGGAAGAGTTGGCCACAGAAATGGGAACGACATCGGATGAATGCAAAAAAAAAATGACCAGCCTTAATGCATCATTTCGGCGAGAAAAGGTGAGGATGAAAAAAAGTCAGAGAACTGGCTCAGGTAGGTAATTATAAAATAGTTTTTATAAATATTAATTAGAATATTAGATACATTATTATTAGCCAGTCTTGCTAAGTAGATAACCTATTCGAATACTATAAGATTTTGTAAGCGTAAATTAAAAATGCTTAGAACTTACTTAAAAACTGAGTTATCGTAAAAAACACAGATAATCCATCGAGTTTCATAATAATTCGATTCACTCTAATTTTCAAACTACCACCGGAGTTAAACGTGATCTGCTAAGCCTAAATTTGCTTTGTTACGCACTTGTAAGACGGAGACAACAAATGGCCGTGTAACGGCCTCTTAACAAGATTGTTATTAGCTATAAATAGATAGAATTTTCGTGCATTCGTATATACATGGACCTGTGAATTGTCTCTGAAATAAGCAAAAACAACAAACTGGAACCGTCACGTCGTCCTTCTCAAGTTACTATTACCCGAGAAGCATTTTCAGTGCTGTCAGTGTTTAATATATTAAGTTTTGTTGTTGCAGAGTACGGTGTAAATCCTGTTCAGTGAACCGTTTTTTTCTGATTTTGAATACCGATTTTTTATACAGGTTAAACCGTGTATTTAAAGTGCTCATATCGGTGTAATAACCGTGCATCAGTGCACCTCGATTTGTATAATACACCGTGTTCCTTTGGTTTAATTTCTTGTGTAATAACAGTTCAATTTTCTTTGATTCAACGGGGTTCATACATTGTTTTATCAATTGGTATATTACAGTTCAATGTTTAATACAGTAACCGTGAATACTATATAATCAGCGGCGTATTTACTGGGGGGGGGGATCAATCCACCCCTTGGTCTTTTTTTCTATTATTAAAGAATTTACCTATATTTACCTGACACTAAATCGTGTTTATAGTATTTTTAATTTTTATGTGTAACATGCAATGGCTCATCCCCTCCCAATAACTATTCCTAAATACGCCGCTGTATATAGTATATACATAATATGTATATATATTATATATTAGCAATGAAATTTCGTATTCTATATTCCCCTTAACTCTATCATGAAGACCTTTATTTAAAAATGTCTATGCTAGATTGACCATTTACCACCCCCCGCCCCCCTAATAAAAAAATTAAATTAAATCCTGACTATGAAATAGGTTGATTAGCTTATAATTTTAACCAGATTGAAAGGGTTCAACAAAAGTTTTTCAGATTCACCAGCTATATTATAATATGTAGTTTCAGAATATATATATTGCTTGTCACCCACATAGTTCCATTTTTATTATATAATAGGTAATTATTTAACTATAAAATTAAACTAAAAAACATGAATTAGGAACAAATATTTATTAAGTTCATTATAAAATGTGTATAATAATATGTTTAGTAAGATTAATAATATTTTAATTGCTTTTGTCTTTAAAATTATAAATACATAATTATAGTAGGTTCACCTTAACCTAACTAAAATAACTAAAAGAACATAATATAAACAGTACATAATTATTTGAAATGTTAAAATATATAGTAGCAATGGCATATTAGCTATTTATATAACCAATATTATATTTAAATACAATCTATGTTTATGGTATAAAATAAGAAAAAATAATAGTTGATATAATAGAATAAAAGTAAAAACCGTGTTAAGTAAATAATAATAATTAATTAGATATGTAGTATAGCTTAATAAAACACTTAATCAAAATTAAGAATGCACATTATTATGGTAAAAAAAGAAAAATAATAATAATAATAATATTTAGATTAGGTACTTCCTAAGCCATTTATAAGTAGGTATATATATATATTTATCAGGAATTGTTTTTCAAATATTTTCTACATAGTATGTAATATATATATATAATTACTATAATAATACTTGCACCCAATAGGTACATTTTTTTATATAAGAATAAAATATAAAAGAAAAAATTTGAACTTTTTTATACGATTCATAAAGGTAATAATACTAAATAATAATTACAACACTGAAGATGATATTTACTTTGAGACTAGAAAGCTAGAATGTCTAATGTAATTGTCTGTAACATTGTGGAATGTAATTTCTTTCTGTGGATCAGTTCGAAAACCAGATAAAGCTTCTATAACAAATAATTTTAATAGTGTCTTAATATTTTTAAACTATTATAATATTTATATAAATGTAAACACTCACCATAAATAATTGAGAATAATTTTAAATTAACAAAACTTCGTTTTGTTTTCCCTTTATAGCTGAAGACAGATAATATTTTATAAATAAAGCATGTGTCAATTGCTTGTCGTATTGCTGCACTAAAGGAATTAATACTTCCAACTTTCATATAAATATAAGTTTTCTGAAATTTCAAAAAATATGGCTCATATTTTAAAGTATTTTAAAGAGATATTTAAGCTATAACAATATTGATGCATAGTACTGAGTTCAAGTTTTAGACATGAAGTAAGTTATTTAAGTAAATATTTAAAATACATAAAAATATGATTCAAAAAGAATATATACTCACTAATTCTTCTTGATTCTTTAACCCATCAGTCTCATCTGATAAAAGAGATTCTAGTAAATCTACTTCTTCAATTGATTTTGCCGGTAATAAATTAATGAATGCAGTGGGTAATGTGGGAATAGGTAAAGCTAAAGATTTCATTCTAGAATCCGATTTCATAATAATTTGTACTTTTTGGTCCAAATTTTTTATGGCATTCACGATTCTAGTGTTGGAGGTATTTGTCATGTGTAATTGTATCAAGATCTGTTTTAACATAGATTTTGTTGTCTTTTCATTTTTTTCTATCAATGATTTAATGGCCAACAGATCTTTGCAAAAATAGTTATCTAGAACAAACATTCTGAATAATATTTGTCCAACTACAATTTACTTAATGGAATACAAACCATTTATGTTTACACTTTCAGTCAAACTACAACTAGTTGAATTTTCAACATTTTTAATTACATCATTGTCAATCATAAAATTGCATTCATACCAGAGTTGCATATAAATTCAGCTATTTCATTAATGTCACCTAAATGATTGTTTAATTTCAGAACACATTTTAAAATAAGCAATTTATGTTACTTAATAATGACTTAGCGCTTAATTAAGTAGTATTTAATTGTACCTTCTTTATTAACAGAGTTTTCTTGGAATACATGTATATTATTTAAAGATGTATACTCTGCAGGCGTCAATAAAATATCATCATATGGTTCACCTTAAAAATCAATTTTATCTTATTATTTATCTATTTGAAGCTAATAAAACCTATGATAAATTGTATGCATAACTTATAAGCATGTATAACCTACTTGTAGAATGAGTTTCTTTAGGATAACTCATTGAATCTGAATTATTTTGTTCATAACTAGAACAGGCTGGACTAGTAAATCTGGTAGAAACTAATAATTTTTAAAATTGATAAGTATAGGTATTGCATTATGTAACTTAATTAAAAATAAGAATGCATAAATTATAATTTATAAATATATTGGTAGATACACACAGGATTCAATATTTTCTTTAGGAGTACTCTTAAAGCTTGAGCTCAAATTTTGAAATTCATTTGTAATTGCATTGGATACTTGTAATGGACTAACAATAATATCATCTATACTCGAATATTTATCTATAATATTTTAAGTAATTTTAAATTATATTTTTAATTGACAAACTTTTACCTTTTTTTTTTTTTTTTTATTATTTATAAAGTTTTCCTGACAATTGGTCATCTAAACTTAAGGCTAAAGGAAAATAATATTTGACATTTTGAAAAAGGTTAACATAAAAGAAAAAAAAAAAAAAAATTTTTACAAATCAGTAAGAATTGATAAATTAGAATTTAACAATGTTTATGAGCTTAGATCTAACTATATTTTTACAACAGTAATAGGTATGTACAATTAAGATTTAATTAAGAACTAATAAATGGGAAAATAATAATACAATAGACAATTAACATAGGAGGTCATGTGGACGTCCACGCTTGAGACGGCGTATTGGAGGAGGGACACTTAGGTTGTAGTATTTAGCGCTGCTAGCAGACTGTAAGTGGTTGAAGAAGTTGATTGTTAGTTTCTTTATATAATCAGTTATAGACGGTAGTTGGAAGTCTGTGTGCAGTGCAGCATTACGTATGAACCATGGGGCGTTAGATATTGTCCTGAGGACTTTAGATTGAAACAAACTTTTACCAAATTCCAACATATTATATACGTGTAATTTATATATTTACTTTTTTCCACATTTTCCACATTTTCTATATTTTTTGGACTGATTGCATTATTTGAATTACCCAATGTTTGAACTAAGGTATCAATGACTGTATTAGTATTTATATTTATATAATAGGTAACAATAAAAAACTATAATTAGTTTAACGTTTAAAATATTTAATAAATTAATAAGTAAAATTGATTTTGTTAATATCAACAAATAACTAAATAGTCATCATACTACAATACTACATACTATTCATATTATTTTCTTTATATTCATCGATTGAGCTGGAGTTCAAGCCTTGTAATATATCATTAGTCTCTGACAAAACAGAACCAAAATGTGTACTAGATCTAGTTGCTATAACATTGAGAAAAGTTACAAATATTTTTAAATACCTATATTTCTAATTCTAAGATATACAATTTATTAATATTACATATAGGTGTGGTAGGTGGTTTAGGTGGTTCCAGAAATTCCTTTTCAAGTTGGCGATTACATTTTGGTATTAATTTCCTTTTTTTAGGAGATGATCTTATTGGAGATATATAACTACCATCATCTGACGTATCTGGTTCTGACCAAGCTTAAGATAATTTTTTTGCTTGACTTTCTTTTTCTAAAAATTAGCAAGTATTTAAGTACATATATATAAGTAGTATAAGTATACCATTCCTGGCACACCTCTTATTTTATCAATAAAAGATCACAAAGAAAACAAT